GTTTATTGGGATTGATCCTGTTGTAAGTCGAGGAGCACCTATAGGTTAAAGAGCCCTGGAAGGGGTGACATTTGAAAAGATGAGAGCGATGGGGGCCCAGCACCTTTGTAAGAGGAAGGAGGGAAGATTTTTCTTCACAAGTGAGCAAATAATTAACACTAACATCCCTGACTGAATCTGGAACCCTAGTAATAATTCACTGAGGCATAATAGAGAATTTTCTAAAGGTGATACATTTCAGAATGCAGCAAAACCACATTTAAATCACACTGAAAGGTAGAATGAGATTCTACAATAAGACTGTGCCATTTAAATGAGGATATATACTGTAAATGTTGGACTGTAACTGAAATATGCCAATATATACCAAGGTTTTCTTGGAGCGGATTTATTTTGACTGAGTGCCATTTCTTTGGAGCCAGTGCTTCAGGACTATTTCAGCCCTCGGACCCATGCATCTGGCACAGGGTCTGTGCCTCATAATGGGGTGTGGGCAGTGAGGTCTGGCACCCATAACATACTCCCTCCTGCGTCCTTCCTTCCTGGCCAAGCAGTATGTAGAACTGGAGACAGTTGGCTCTTCAGGTGGTTTAAGTAGAGGGTGGGTGTATTTACAAGGCCTTTATTTTCACCTGTTGACCCCCGTGCCACTGTCTTAGGCAGTGGTTCTCAACCTTCCTAATGCCATGGCCCTTTAATACAGTTCCTGTGGGTCGCGACCCACAGGTTGAGAACTGCTGGTCTTAGGGTTTAGGGTTATAGATTGCCAGTTGGACAAAACTGCTATGATTCTGCAGTGTTTGTAACTGCTCCTGTGTCTCCCCAGGAAATTCTCAAGGAGAACTTAAGGATGTTTGAATTAGTTCAGAAACATCCATCACACTGGCCTCCCTTTGTACCTCCAGCCAAGCCAGAAGTGACAACCACTGGGGCAGGTAAGCTGTTGCTCAGGGGCTCTCGGCCTCCAGATTCACGTGTAGCAATTGTTTTATGAGACAGAAGGAATGTGGGTCACACTTTCTGTGGAAGGTAAAATTTCAACTCAGTTGGACTGATGAAAAAATAGTGCTTCTGATTATTTTAATCTTTCGATGAGCTGATATTTACCAATCTCAAAGAATGATTCAAAAAGAAGAACATGAACTCACTGCAGAAGTTCTATGCAAAATCAAGATGACAAGAACTGCTTTTAGAATTCTTTTTCATGATCTGGTTCAGAATAACAAATTGAGGCTTAGGTGGTTCAAAGGTACCTCAAAGGGCTTACAGAGTCTCTGCCACATCACTGTGATTAGGCCTATGTAACAAGTCTGGTTATTTTGAGTCTTTATAGAGAATTTCTAATCCTTGACAGCAGTCCCAGTTGTAAGTCTCCTCCAGACAAGTCTTTATCAAAATGATTTTTTTTAAGTGTATAGGTTTAACTACTGAGTAATGTTATCCATTGACCACTTCAACCCATGTGTCAAGCTCTTCTTCTTTCTTATTTCCGTAATCTGATAGAATTCATTGACTCTACCGAACAACTGGAGGATTTTGACCTGGAGGAAGATTTTGAGATTCTGAGTGTGTAGAATACTGGGAACTCAACTTGGAGGTCTGTCTTCCATCTGGCATGAACTTATTACATAAAACTTTTCTAGTCAGCAAGTGCCTAATATGCCAACAGCATACAAACTCAATAGCAATCATGACTGAGCCAGTCACCACTTCCAGCAACAACCTCTTCCCAGAAAGAAAGAAAACAATCATGGAGCCTAGGAGCAGGACGATTAGGAGCAGTCCGTTGCTTCCCAGATTGTCTTACGTGGCTACAACAAGTTTTCAGCTGCTGAAATGAGGAGATGGATATCTGGAAGACAGACAGCAACCCCCATCTTGCTTCATGCACCAGCAGACGAGAGGTGGTTATACAGTTCTTCTGCACCCTTGAGGTGTGACCTCTTTGGGGTTAAAACTAAGAACGAATTTGTTCTCTTGCTCAAACAAGGAAATGACTGAATCAGGAAGGAAAAGGTTCTTGTTAAATTATTTGCATATGAATTTTAGGTAATTACAATTTATATCAAAACATTTGTCAAAGAAATGATGTCAAATGTACACTTCTTGATCTCCTTCCTATTTAGGGGAACCTTATTATTTGATGTGTCACTGTCCCTGTTCTTACTGATACTTTTGTCAGATGTCACCCTGTCCTTAAATCAAATCATGATTGCTTGAATCAGGGGTCAACAAAATTTTTTCTGTAAAGGGCCAGATAATAAATATTTTAGGCTTTGCAGGCCATGTGGCCTCTGTCCCAACTTACTCAACTCTGCTGTTGAAGCGCAAAAGCAGCCATAGACAATAAGCACGCAAATAAGCATGGCTGTGAGCCAATAAAACTTTATTTACAGAAAGAGGTGGAGGGCCAGATTTGGCCTGCAGGCTGTAGCTTACCAATAACTGACTTAAATTGTTAATTTTTGTTTGAGAAATTAAAAATAAATTGTGTTTCAATTATACTGTTGTGGTTGACAGCCATTATGTAGAAAGAATTATTAATGTAGTGAATTACACATTTAATCTGTGGATCAAATATAATTCCAGATCCTTTCAAGACTGGCAACATACTAAATTTGAAAGCACAAATTCATCAAATTAGCTTTGCTAGGCCAGGCACAGTGGCTCACACCTGTTATCCTAGCACTTTGGGAGGCCAACTAGGGTGGATTGCTTGAGCTCAGGAGTCTGAGACCAGCCTGAGCAAGAGTGAGCCTCCTGTCTCTATTAAAAATAGAAAAACTAGCTGGATGTGGTGCACATGCCTATAGTCCCAGCTACTTGGGAGTCTGAGGCAAGAGGATCTCTTGAGCCCAAGAATTTGAGGTTGCTGTGAGCTACAAGAATGCCACGGCACCCTACCCAGGGCAACAGAGTGAGACTTGGTCTCAAACAAACAAAAAAGAAATTAGCTTTGCTAACCACTATCCTGTGAGGATGCACCTGAAGTCCCAACAATATCTTCCCTTCTTTTTCCCCTTGCCCTCTTGTTTTCATTCCACTCCCATCTTTAATCGAGTCCTAAGGAAGGCTAGCAATTGGGATTTGAAAGCTAGCACCAACCTCTTCACTCGTTTCCTGAGATTCCATGTTTTTCTTTTTTTCTTCTAATAGGTAATATAGTCCAGTGGTTCAAAATTCAAAAGGTGCAAAATGGTATTAACTGAAATGTCTCTTCCTCTCATACGTTAGTTCCTATCCCTGAAAGCTTCCGATGTTATTAATCTCTCATGTGTATTTTGTGCATATATAAATATATGCATGTGTACAACATATATATGGCTCAAATTTGGTTTTGATGACTTTAACACTTTTTTCTACTTTTCATTTATTTGTAAATGATCCCAAGGCCACAGAAGTATGGAAAACTCCTTTCTTGAACCTTAGCATGTGACAGGGATAAAAGCAGGTGTAGGCTTATCTTGACGCTGGGGGCTTGTTGACCCTTAGGGGACGCTTTCAGCCCTTTGACTTTGATCATCTTCTACTTCTTTCCCACCTCAGTGTTTCGTTATAGAGTTCAACTTGCAGTACTAGGGACCCAGGCTCTTAGGGGGACTTAAATTGTGAGATGGACATTAGAAAAGTTTTCATCAAGGAATGTCAAGAGTCAAATGTTCATATCTCATTTATTTATTTATTTATTTCGCTATATACAAAGCTGTCACCATGCTTATTACTTAGCCAGGAGGTGAAGATAATCACTCAGATTATACTGATTTATACTTTGTCTCTGTTGGCATAGTTTACGTAATACTTAAGGATACAGAATCACCTGGAAGGAACTGCCTCATGTCAACACAGCTAAGTGTGTCAGGGAATTGGTAAAGAAAATGTCTAAAACAAATCCCCCCCAAAAAACAGGATACAATGCACTTTATAACCAACTTAGACTTGCTTTAGGTCTGCTGACTGCTCAAGGGAGGAGTGTGCTAAATTTTTATGAGGTTTTAAAAACATGTTAAAAGAGCTTACTAGGCTACCTGTGAAAAAGCAGTTGATGACCATTTTACCAGAAAGTCTCTAACAGCCTCAGAATGCAAATGAACTAACACACTGCAGCTTCAGTTTGCCACAGTGCACACGTCTGGATGGCATTTGGGATAAACAGGGCCTTCAGAGAAATAGGGACACAGGATTTACCTTTTTTGTTCCTGGAGTCAAAAGCCAGAATTCACACCTCCCTACCCATCCTCCCCTCTACCCCCTCCCTACCCACCTTCCCCTCCTGGCCTGGGGAAAAAGGCCCCTGGTTCTCATGTCCTTTGATGGGCTTGGCCACATTGGTTGCATCTTCCGCTGTACTATGGACTAGGCCATGTCCATAGTTTCTGGCTGCGGAGGGAGCCGGCAAGGAGGAAGTGATTTGTCTAGGACCAGGTGATGTCAGTTAGGCCTTCTCAGCTATGAAACTTGAAACCTCCCTAAACCATCTGGAGCCCAATCTTGCTCACTCTGGAAGGAGTCAAAGCTCACTCTGGGCTACTGGCTAGCACCTCGTCTCAGTTCTATTGCCTACCTGGACGCAGGGGGCCTCCTTGGTCAGTGAGGGCTTGCCCTATGCAGACTTGAGCAATCCGTGAATTTTCAGCAAGAGGTTTTTCTTTTTTGATGTGGAAACCCAGGGTTTGGGTTTAAGCTCAATCATGTGCGGTGATCTCTGGACATGAAGAAATGACTTATTAGCAGTGATGAAGAGCTTTCTGACCGAGACAGGAATGCTAGAAGTCTGAGAAAGTAGAGGCCCAGCAAATCCTTCTGAGGTAGCCACAAATAGTCATACAAACATCCGAATCAAATGGTAGCACCAGGTTGACTGAAATGGGCCAGCGGATCTGAGCAGGGTGAGCTCATCTGTTGGGCCTGAGGGTTGGGGTGACCAGGGTCCAGTAGTCCAGTCCGAATGAGACCCCATTGTATAACTTGACAGATAGACCAAAGGGCTCTAGTCTTCCTTCTTCAGACCATTCCGGTTTGTGAGGTGACTGTTGTGAGGGGGAGGGGCGGGGAGGGAGCAGAGTGGCAGGTGCCGCCCTACAGGCTTTTCATACACACCTGACAGCGGCTGACTCGGGTGTGGAGCTGCCCGGCTTTCAGCGTTTCAGACACAGGCTCCTCCCCAAACTGCTGCCTCTCCTCCACTGTCGTCAGCCAGAAACTGTACTTGTTGGCAAAGTAGTGGCAGGTGCCACGGGCACCACTGCACTCGATGAAAGGAGTGGCCCGGAAGTCCTCCAGGCAGGAGCCAGGTGAGACCAAGGACTGGCCCCCGCCCTCGGCACCAGCAGCAGTGTGCTGAAACAGATAGGTGTGTGTGTGAGTTGTGCCCGCCAGGGGTCAGCATGGGGAGCTGATGGGTGCTCTGCGGCTATAGGAGGGCACGTGAGTTCTGTTCCCAAGCCCTAGTCCCTTGCCTTGGCTCCAGCTTCAAGCGAGCATACCACGTGCTGTCTCAGGGCCAAGTGTGTCTCCTCCAAGTTCCCTAGCACCCCCCTAATCCATCATGCAAGGGCAATGACCACATCTCAACCAGCATGTGCCAAACTGCTGCTGTCCCACCGAGTTGAGAGGTGTTTTAGGCGCTCCCTCCCCCATTTCCCCAGACAAATGAACCTGAGAAAGGCTGAATTAAGGAACATTCAGTAGGTTTTGGAATTATAGTTTTCAGAGGTCTCTGTCTACTGTGCATGGTACTCTAGGAAAGGAAAGGAAGGGGCATGCAATATTCCACACACTGGTTCCACCATGGCGCCCTGCCCCCAGCACATCTAGCACTAGCTTTTATTCTGAACTTACCTGTATTAAAACTACTTATATTTTTAATCTGTGCTATACCCTTTAGGGTGGCATGCGGCATTCACTACCTGCTGAGTAAACGTGGGCCTCGTTGGCCTATGTGTTGTGGCCATCGCTTCAGAGGGCTCCCTTAATTCAGTTATAGGGTCTCTAGTCTCTAGTCACTGTGCTCACAGACAGCAGCCTCCGTCCCTCCACACCACCCTCCCTTCACCTTCACTGGGTTATCTGGACCACAGGAGGTGGGGAAGACTTCAGGGATACACACCGAAGTCAGCAAATGGCCAATGGAACGAATGCCCAAGTTGGACACACCGGGACCTGTTCCTTTGCAGAACTTTGAGAGGAGCGTCTCCATGTGACCTTTCAAGTGGCCTTTCCTGATCACTGGAGCATCAGGTTTTCTTCATTTTGACCCTCAGAATGAAAAACCTCTCTAAAACACATGACACATGTTCCTGCTTTCCTAAACAGACATGGTATATTTGAAACTTTGCAGATGACTCTAGGCTTGTCATTGTGAATGTCAGCTTTTGTGAGAGGCAAATAAGCAAGAGCCCATGCCAAGGGGTGCAGCTTGCAGAACGGTTGGGTCTCCTTTCAATCATTTTCTTCCTCTTTCCTCCCTTTTAGCAGGCAGTCTCACTGCTTCAGGATGCCTAACTAGGCAGCCCAAATTCTCACCCCTACGTATTTTCAGGAAAAAATATTCTAGTATGTTAGAATTATGTGTAAAGTAAGAGTAAGGAGATTCTGAATAAGGGCTAAGAGCTCTCCCATGACCAAAGCACATGAGATTGTACCAAGCTTCTTATAGAAGCTCAGGGGTCTTTTCTCCTTATTTCCTGGTCTGCGTGGTAGACAGAACAGAATGGTAAGTGAGGTGATTCTGAAGGACATTGGGACAAGCTGCTCAGAGCACAAAGACAGAGCCTAACAAGGAAGTGCCTTTCCCCAGGTCAGCACACTCATGTGAGGGAGCCTTGCAGCTTTGGAAATTCTTCAAAGACTGTCCCTATCTCACCCCTGGCAATCCAGCAGAGGAGCTCCGGAGAGACAGGGTACTTCAATGGATGCCATGCTGGTTTTCCCTGGGAGTTTTCCTGGTCCTGAATCTGACCTTTCATTTGATGAAATGGCCTCAGGCGGTTCACAGGCTATCATGTGAGGAGCTTGAGGGCTCCTTGGGTTACAGGTTGGCCAATGCCTTTCCACTGAAATGGCAAGGCAGCAAAATGCCAGCCAGAATGTACAAGGGTGTGTTTTCATCTCAGCCTTTTAGGAGATGTCGGGGCCAGAAGGGTCTTGGAGGGTGGGAAGAATGGACAGCACCATGACCAGCCCTACCAGAGAGGCTATGTCCTGGCCCTGAGGGGGGACAGCCTCTCCCTCACTGTCCTCCCAGATCATAGTGTGTTTTTTCCTTCCCTTGGGTGGTATAATTGAAGCAGGCCCAGAGATGGTAGGGCCTTGGCCTCTGGCTCATAGATATTCTCACCCCAACCACTGGGTGCAAACTACTCTCTTCCCTCACACTCATAACTACCTGTCATTCACACAGAACTGGGTCCGCTGGTGTTTAGCCAAGCCTAGGCCAACCATTTCCCTTCCTTTCAAACTCTGTGCTTTCTTCCTAGCATCCCTGGAGCCTGGGAAACCAGTCTAAGGGGCCCTCCCAGAGCTCCCCACCCTCTCCCTCTACACTGGGGGAGGGAGCAGTGCAGGGCCTTACCATGAGGAAGGAGTACCCGATCCAGAGGCTGCGCCAGCCCAGGGGGCACTGCGGGATGGTGATGTCCTGGCTGTGCACAGCAATGGCTTGTGAGGGCGCCTCGCACACAGAGCAGCGGCTGATGTACTGGGGAATCTGGGTCTGGCCGACGGGCATCATGGGGATGGGGGCAGTGGTGGAGAGCCAGTAGGATTTATCGTTGCGCCTGGCATAGTGGCACACTTCGTTGATGTTGCAGTAGATGAAGGGCATGGTGCTGAAGCGGGGTAGGCAGGAGCCAGCAAATCCTGGAAGGAGAGATGGTGGGCAAGGACAGGTAAGGGGCAGGGCACTGGGACTCCACTAGATGGTGGTGTGAGTTTACATACAACTGCTTGTACCACACCAGGGCACCCCTCTCCTTCAAGCCTGTCACATTGCACATATCAAGTAGTTCTGTTGATCAAATCCTATTTTAAATGCACCAGGGGAGTTTGATAATGACAAGAATCTTTTTATAAACTTGAATAATTACTTCCTAATTAATTTGCTTTGTAAAACCAGCATTTAATAGACTGAGTCTGCCTTTAAGAGTTAGCAGAACTGCAGACAATACAATTAATTCTTGGGTAATCATCATTGCCCAGCGGGTCGTATTATTACTACCACTACTAATCACCAACATTTAATGGATGCTTAAATGCCAAACATTGTTTTAAGCATTTTACATTAGGTGATTCATGTACTACTTATACCAGCCTATGTGATGACAGGCATTAGAACAACTTTATTTGATCCATTAAGGAGGAAGTGGAAGCTTAGAGAGGCTGAATAACTTGCCCAGGGTACATGGCTAGTAAGTGGTAGAGTAAGGACTGAACCCAGATCCGCCTGACTCCAGCTGGTGCTTGTACCTCATTACACAACAGTGGGTCCACCAAGGGCTGGGAGAAGAGAGGAGGTTGGCTGTTGGTTCTTGTGGGGACAGGTGGCCAGGGCTGGCTGTCAGAGCTGGTACCTACCCAGGTCCTGGTTGTGGGCTTTCTCCTGCCCCTCCACGAACAGCAAGCTGTAACCCACCCACAGCTGGTTCATCCCGACGGGGCACAGGGGCACCTGTTCTGACTGGCTGTGCTTCACCAACGTGTAGCCCACTCTCACACCCTGCCCAGGCATCCCGGGCCTCCCAAAGGGGCCTTGCTGCCCTGGAGCTCCTGAGAGGGAGAGAGCAGAAAAGGTGAGTGTGATGAAACTAAGGGTAACATTAGCCACCTGCTTCCTGCCATGCATCGTGCAAGGCATGTTATGTACACGTGCTAGCTCACACTCAATCCTCACGATGACCCTGGGAGATGGTACTATCGTCACCCCAAATTGTAGATGAAGAAACTGAGGCTCAGAAGTCCCATAGTGAGCAAGTGGTAGAGCTACAACTCTGACAGGGATGTATCTGGCTAGAGTCCACATTTAAAAAAAAAATACATTATCTGGCCTCCCTCTCACTGCCACCTGGACTTGGGTTCTCTCTGAGTAGGGATGCAGAAGTAGAGCAGGAAGCTTCTTGGGCCCAGCCTTGCAGTGATAAATAAGTAGCTGCTTAATCAGAGGCACTGAAGGCAGAGTTAGGATTACATGGGCAAAAGCTCACCCTCATCTCTTGCCCATGACAGACATGGCTAATCAATTGCAACACTGTCCTACCGAGTCTCAGGATGGGTCTCTACTCAGGACAAGTTCTTTGCCCTCCCTGATATAAAATAGGAGGTAAACAGCAGAGGTATATGGGAAGCCACACCTTATCTCAAATGTCACCCCTTAAAACTATCCTCTCCCGGCTCAGTGCCCATAGCACAGTGGTTAGGGCGCCAGCCACCTACACCAAGGCTGGTAGGTTTCAACCTTGCCCAGGCCAGTTAAACAACAATGACAACTATAACAAAAAATAGCTGGGCATTGTGGTGAGTGCAGTGTAGAGTCAGAGCTCTTAGGAGATGGGAGAGATCCAGGAAAGGATTTGGAACAGTCCTTTGCCTTCCAGAATGGAGGGCATCCCTTCACAGGCTTAGAGTGTGGTGGGGAGTGAACAGCCTAGAGTCCAGCTTTTAAGCCTCCTAGTAGTGTCAAGGTCTACTGACAGGTTTATTAAGTTTCAAATTTGCATTTTTTTTTACTCTTCCTCTAGCCTCAAACCCTCACAGAAGCCCTTTGCCCCCTAATGTGACATCACCAGACCTTCAAATCCTGGAGGGCCTTGTAGTCCAGGGACACCAGGATCGCCGAGAGCTCCAGGCAGGCCCGGGCGCCCGCTGGGACCATCTTTGCCTGGGATACCAGGTAAACCTTTGGGGCCTGCAGGAGAGAAAGCCCACAGCGGGCGCTCAATGTCCTGAGGTGCCTTGCGGAAAAGGAAGCTGTGCGTCATACCCAAAACTCACCAGAAGAGGGTGCACTGGCTGTCACGGTGGTGTGCAACCGGAGCACCAGGGCTACAGCCGGCCTGGGGTAGTCAGTTCCCAGGGGCCTTTCTGAGCTCCTTCACACCCACTTTCTCCTCCCCTCTCTCTCATCCTCCAGCAATGCTGGGAAGTACCAGGGGCAGCTGCTGGTGTCTAATATCAGGAATGAAGTTACTGAGACCCAGAGAGACTGCTAACTTACTCCATTTGTGGCAAAACTGGGATTAGAAGCCAGGTTTCCTGCCCCCAGACCTAGGCTTTCCCCAGTGCTTAGTGTGGCCATTTATCCACCACCACACTTCCTCCTCTCTCCACAGCACTTTAGAGGAGGAGGAGCAGTCCAGAGTGGCGGCCCTGCCCTGCCCACACATTCTCTAAAGTCTCCTCACCTTGTAGGCCTATAGGGCCTTGAACCCCAGGATCCCCTGGAAGGCCAGGGATGCCATCTATTCCTGGTAGCCCCAAGGGTCCAAGAGGAACCTGGATGGCTTCTGCAATTGGTGTTTTTCCGGGAGCACCTCGGGGGCCGGAAAAGCCTGTGGGCATGTGGGGCAAATGGGAATGTCAGGCTGAGTCAAAAGAGGCAATGGTGGGGCCCTGGAAACCATCCTTTCTGTATTATAAACACCAGCTTCCAGCCCTTTCTGTTTGTCCCCAAGGTTCCCAGTAGATTCCTCCAGTATGGCTCTCCCCACCCAATGCCTATCCATATCCCCAGTGGCTTGACAGCTCTTTGAGGGCAGCAAATAGGTGGGCTGAGCCTTTGCTCAGGGCTAGGGTGGTTGGTTTACTCTCTGGTTAAAACATAGTGCCAAGGAGGCTGAGAAGATGCATCCAACTCTAGAGATTCAGTTGGCATCATAGCCTAGGAGCCTGACCCCAGCCAGCTGCTTTACTAATAATACAATTTGCTTGCTAAGTCACTGAGCAAGTATTTCTCAAGTGCTTACTATATACCTTACTATGGTCCTGTAGATCAGAGGACAGTGCAGTGAATAAGACAGACCTTTATGGAGATTATGATAAAGATAACAATGCTTAAATACCATTCATCTTAGTGCAAGTTGTGAGAAGTGCTATGGAGAGAAAGAATAGTGCAGTGACAGTGGGATGGAGAAGGTGGTGACATGGGGTGGAGGAGAAATCAGTGGCTTTTCACATAGGCAGTGACATTTAAACTGAGACCATTAAAACATTACAAGAAATTAGTCATTTGAAGAGGGGCAAGTGCACTTCAGGAAGTAGGGCTGGCATGTGCAAAGGCCCTGTGGTAGGCCAGGACTTGGTGTTTTGGGATAACTGAAAGAGACCGGGATGGTAGGAGTACAGTAAGCAGTAAGGGGAAAGGCTGCCAATAGGGATGAAGATGCAAGTGTCACAAAGGGCTTTGGGGGCCACAGTTTATTCCTATGCCATGGGAAAACACTGGATGATTTGTTTTTCTAAGATTTCTCTGGCCTCTGTGTGGAAGAATGATTGTTGGGGTGGGGGAGGAAGGGTGCTGCATGAGAAATGGTGCCCTAGATGTGAGAATGGTGGTGGAGCTGATGCTAGGTGAGCAGATGCAAGGGAGGGACGACCTTCAGGCCTTGCTATGATTGCCTGTGAGTGGGGGTGGGAGCAGTAAAGGATAGGAAGGTGATGGTGTATGTTCTTTGGAGCACATTGAAGCCAACTGCCATGTCTGAGCAAGGGATGCTTATCTCCTACAGGAAGGATGGTTCTTCATTTCTGCATTGAGCAGATGGGTGGGTGGGTGATCTGAGTACAAAATTGAAGCCCCATTAATGCAGAAGTAAGGAGAGAGAAGAAGGCAGTGGCAGGATCCTTGGTGGCAGCTGTGGCCTTCAGTCCTAGGAGCTGATGGTGGCTGAAGTATTCCCAAAATGGAGGATCTACCTCCCTGGAGGAGCTTGATCCAGATGTTCCAGGCATCCAGGCTTCCTTGGCGTGGTGAGCCATGACTCCTGAAGGAACCTAACCCCTAGGCCACTCCCTAAAGTGCAGAATCAGCCCAGTGCATGCTCTCAGCTCACCTCTTGGTCCTGCCTTCCCCTTCATTCCGGGAAATCCTGGGTCTCCAGGTGGCCCAACCTTGCCTGGAGTCCCCATGAAGCCAGACTCTCCTCTCATGCCTGGCAAAGTCCAAAGGAAGCATGTTAGGCCCTGGCCTGGTAGTGGTATGAGGGCAGAGACTAGGCAGGGGTGAGGTAGGGAAGTGCATTATCCACAGGGTGGTGGGAAGGGGCCATCTCTGACTGTGGAATGGGAAAGAGCCTAGAAGCCAGCCAAGCAGCCATACCTTTCAGTCCTAGCTCTCCAGGGAGGCCAGAGAAACCTGGAATTCCTTGGTCTCCCTTGGGCCCTTGAGGGCCAGGAATTCCAGGGAAGCCAGGGTCTCCGGGGTCACCTTGATCCGAGGATGGCCCAGGAGGACCTGGGGGCCCAGGGGAGCCTGGACGGCCTAGAGATAAGATCGGAAGAGGGATGAGGAGCTGGTGGGCAGGAAGTGGCCACTGTCAAAGGCCTAGGGCTAGGCACTGGGAGGAAGCCAAAGCCCCTTCCCAAGACTGAGAGTTTCCTCACTGTTTGCGGGTCCTAGTGCCCGCACTTTCCCAAATCTTTTAGCCAATTACAGCTAATTCTAGTCCCCTGTGTCCTGGCTGGGGGTAATGATGTGTACCCACACAGGCCCAAGCATGCTGAGAAACAGGGACTGGGCTTCACTGTAGATAGGGCCTCTCTGAACACCAGGTCAAAGGTAGTGACCAGTCCTCCTTGGGGCTTCCTGTCTTTACCTCGTTCTCCATCTAGGCCTGGTGGCCCAGGATCACCAGGCTGCCCTGCTATGACTGAGGGCAAGGAGATTCCTGGGGCACCGGGGAGACCAGCAGGGCCTTGGAGACCTGGGAAACCTGCAAAGAATGAATAAAAGGGGCTAGATGGGCCCAGGAGAGGGCCAGGCTCTCTCAAAGAAAATGGACATTCACACAGAGAAAATGGAAGTAGTCAGGTAGCAGTCAGACCACAGAACGCCAGCAGAGGGCTCTTCTCCCCTCACCTACCTTCCCAGCAAGCCGACAAACACCAAGGACGCGGCTGAGAGACTCCCTCTTTCCAGCTGGAGCTGCATTTTTTTTTTTTTTTGGCATAGAGCTGTGGAAAGTTCTAGCCTCCCAACTTTACTGCTAATGGAAATACTTGAGGGCGATTTCCCCCAAATCAGAAGGAAAAGGCAGGATTGAACACCCAGAAATTAAGTTTCCCAAGTGTTTTTAAACCTACTGGCCCTGTCAATCAACATTTTGTGAGTTAGCTGGTATGTCTGAAGTTGCAAGAGGGTTACAGAGGCGGCTCACAGGTCCCAGCCCGTCAGAAGAGATGCTGCAGATCAGAATGGAGCGGGCAAGAAAGCTGTGCCTTCCCATGTCTTTTAGGGCTATCTTCTGAGGTGTCCAGGCAAACTGGGAAATAATCTTTTATACCAGTGATTTTCAACCAGTGTGCCTTGAGAGCATCTTAGGTTTGCTGTGAAAAGTTTTAAAGATCATTAATTAAATTATTTTC